GCTGTTTTTCGGGACCTGTTTCAGGCTGTTGAGGCCTCCCCCATGGGACGCACTGTTGCAAACAGTCGCACTAAGCAGAGGTCCGGAGCCAGAACCCCCCCCCTCCCCCCCCCCTCCCGCCCAATGTCGAAACGCCGAAAAAGAAAACGCTCACAAACGCAAAAAGCACACAAACACAGTGGAGACTCATGCCAAGAAGCTCCCTGCTTGCCTCCAGTGTGCACTGGGTTTCTTGGTTTCGATGGTTTTGCTGTGGAAGGCGTGACGTTCCCACGCCAAAAATCAATAACACAGTGGAGACCCATGTCAAGAAACTCCCTGCTTGCCTCCAGGGTGCCCTGGATTTCTTGGCTTTCGATGGTTTTGCTATGGAAGGCGTGACGTTCCCACGCCCAAAGTCAATGGGCGTCATGGGGTCTCAGGGTTGGGTTTCTTGTGGAAGGTTTCTTGTGGACCGGCCTCCACTGTAGTGGATTGTAGATCCTCCGCGGCCATGCCATGTGCGAGTAGTCCTTTTGCGAGTAGTGGAGCGCGCTTGTTTGCACTTGCAAGCGTCCGAAAAGCAAACACATCTTTGCCTCAAAGGAGTGGATCGTAGATCCCCCGCGGCGGATCCAGGCCATTCGCGATGAGCCCTTTTGCGAGCAATGGAGCGCGCTTTTCTATACTCGAAGACGTCAGAAAAAGTATCATGTTTGCCGCGATAGAGTGGATCGTAGATTCCTCGCGGCCAGTCAGGCCATGTGCGAGGAACCCCAGAGGGTTTTTAGTTTCAGGCCCCCCCGTTCTCTCGGCGGTGAGGAGGACTGGTCCTGAAACCTCTCAGGAGGGAAAAAAAACACACAGACACAACTAGTCGTCGATTCCCCCGAGTCATGGGAAAATATGGGAAGTGGGGGGGAAGACAAAAACCCAGAAAATATTGAAAATATGGGGAATCCTGTTATTTGTGTGTATTTATTTGTGTGTCCCAGGGCCCCTTCAATCTCCTCGTCGCGGCGGAGATTAAGTTCCCGCTATTGTTCGGCGGGGACCTCTTTCTCTCAGGGAATACAAATGCTCTCTGGGCGACCCTGCACGACAGGAATTTTGAGCACGCTTTTAAGAAGATTGATACATATATATGTATATGCGTGTGTGTGTATATATATATATATATATATATATATATATCATGAGGGAGAGAAACACACATACACACTTAATCGGCGATTCCCCAGAACATATGGGAAAATATGGGAAGTGGGGGTGGAAGACAAAAGCCCAGAAAATATTGGAAAATATGGGGGATAACTTTATTTGTGCATATTTCTTTGTGTGCCCTGGGGCCCCTTCAATATAGATCGGCAGAGTCTTCAACGATCCTTCTAAGAATGGAGGTTTGGCAGTGGAGTTTCTGTGGGCCCTCGTGTGGCTTGAGCTTCAACCATTTTTTGAGGATGGAGCTGCTGAGGGTAGAGCCTCTGCGGATTTCGTGGGGCTTGAGCTTCAACAGTCTTTCTGAGGATACAGCTTCTGAAGAAATTTCTGAGGATGGAGTTTCTGAGGGCCCGCGCGGGACCTGAGCTTCAACAGTCTCTCTCAGGATGTAGCTTTCAAGGTAAAGTTTCTGAGGGTCAAGTCTCTGAGCCAAGATTTTCCATGAGAGCGCTCCTGAGGCATAGTGAGTAGTAGTCGTCGCAGTCGTAGTCGCAATCGTAGTCCTAGCTGTCGGCGTCGTTGTTGCGCGGCGGGTGCCGCGGGGAAAAATAATTAGTTGCCCTCATTGATCGAACACCAATCCGTGAATCAGGTCGCCGAGACAACTCATGAAGTACGCCTGGGGGGGTTTAACAATCTTTCACGGTTAGTTCGTTTTGTAAGTAGTGGAGCGCACTTGTCTGTCGGCGCTGCAGAGCCTGGCGTTGCTTGCTGCTCTTCGCATTCGTTTGCAGTCGGACCGAGGTATAAGATCGAGGTCGGTTCGGGGAGGGTACCCTGATGTCCTTCGTGTCTGTGGGGTGTTTTTGTGCGTCCGCGGGTGGATATCCTTGGATGTTCTGTTTTTGGCCGTCGGAGGGTCTCATGTTGTTGAGGGATCTTCTTCTGGCCTAGGTCCGACTGTATCTGCTCGTTCTCGGAGGAGGAGAAGGTGCCCCTGCCGCTACCCCCGGCTCGTTCTCCCCTTTTTTGTTTGAGGGGGTCCTGGGAGGCCCTCGTCGCTACGGCTGGATTCGCCTCGAAATGTTGGTCAGAGCGCAGCGCGGGAGAGTTCTGGGGAGCAGCGGTATCGGAACCTTTTGGTCTGCCCATCTTCCCCGGGCCTCCTCCCCTTTCCCTTTGCCCCCCCTGTCGTGGCCGTCGTCGTCGTCCTCCTCATCGTCTTCGCTCCTGCGGGGCCGTGGTGGACGAACGGGAAGGGCGAGGGAGGGAGCGCGAGGGCGGTCGAGTGTCTGGTAAGGGGTGGTACGGATAAAAGGTCCCACTGATTCTGGGAGCTTCTCCTCCTCCTCCGCCTTCTCATCCTCCTAGTTTTCCTTCTCCTCCACTCCTCCCCGAGGAGGAGATGGAGGAGGAGGGGGAGAAGGAGGAGGACGAGGAGGACGAGGAAGACGAGGAGGAGGAGGAGGAGGAGGAGGTAATGGAGCGGGGGGGGGAGGGGGAGGGGGGTTAGGAGTTGGGAGGCGTTAGGCGGGGTCTAGAGGATTTTGGGTGGTTCTCGGGGATCCTCCTCCATGCCATCCCTCTGTTTTCTCCTACATCTCATCCACGTCCTCCTCTTTATCCTGCCCTCTCGTATCCTCAAACACGTTTACCTCCTGCTCCTCCGTTACCCCATGTCCTCACCTTCCTAAACCTATTAACGCGTCAAGTATCATCACCAGCCCATGCAGAAACAATGCCCAGACGAGTTGCCTTGATCAGGGAAGTGTAAGAGCAAGCAGTGGAACAAAGAGAGGTGGGGGCAACCGTCAAACCCGATGTGGGGATCAGCCTGAGCAGGCCCAGGAGTCAACCATGACTTCCTTCGTGGATAATCTGTCGATATGGCAGCTCTTTGGCACCTTACTTGGACCATCTTGCATGTTTGACGCTTCGCGTATCTCCACCAGCCCATCCAGAAACGAAGACCAGGAGAGTTGCTTGGGCGAGGAGGTTCAAGGACGGTAGGATGATAAGGCGGAGAACGAGGAGGAGCAGAGGTAGGAAGCGGGTCAGGACGGGAAAGATGAGGAGGAGGACGCGGGGCGATATTGAACCGTCTGGAGGCCTCGAACGCTTGTCGGAAGCGAACGCGCGAGAATGCACACATCAGTGGTGTCCTTAGGTTTGGGAAGGAATTGTGCCTCTTGATGGCGTCCTTGGGAGGCTCCGTGGACACTTAGAGTCGTCTTGCGGCCATCTTGGGGTGGATACAGGTTGGGGACAATATCGAACCATCTTGGACTATCTTGTGCCGTCGTTGGAGACCATGACAGGCTTCCTGGGGCCATGTTGGAGCGATCTTGGGCCACGTCGCACCCTCAAGCGACCCGTGGTCCCCCTCTGTCGAGACCAAGGGAGAGGGGGTATGAGGAGAGGTCAAGCTACCCGCTCCCTCAAGGACGGCCGTCTCGCTCACTCCCACCAGCCCTCCACCCGAGTCTCAGCATAGGAAGGTGCCACCAAAGACAACCATCGGGAACCAATGCAGATGCCAGCCAGGTGCGCGCCGCCCGCGAGGTGCGCGCGCGTGCCAGGGCACGCCCGTCCTCCCTGTCAAATCGCAAGGCAGGAGGATCGCGGGGCGTCCGCGCATGGTCCACGATTGTGCCACAGCGTGTATCTCGCATGTGTTTTGGACAAGGATGTTGGGCCTGCGCACACTGGACGATCTGCTGGCACTCCCGCCGTCCCTGCCAGAACAAAAAAACAGGTAAGTGATCGCGGGGCGCCCCCCTAACATGATCCATATCTAGCCGCAAGTGGATGTTGAACGGTTTTTGTTGATGGATCGTGAGGGGGTCGGCATTGTCCCAGATTTGGGCCGGCAGAGTGGGCGAATGTGTAGATTGAGAAGGAGTAAAGATCAACCTCTCCCTGAAGGGGAAGACGGAGAGGTTGAACGGACTAACTCGATAAAGAACCTACGCACACCCAGATGGCTGGTGGGATTCCGTCCTCCTCCTCATCCACTTGGTGCACCTCCACCTGCTTCTCCCTATCCTCCTCTTCGACCTACCCATCTCTCCCTCTTCTCACGCTCTCGCGCTAGCCTTGTTCTGGGGGAAGAACCAAGATCAGGAGCACGAGGAAGGATGTGATGAGACTCCAGTGTATTAGCATAGCCTCGCCATCATGCCGCGCTGGTCTTATCTGAGAGGCGGAAAGGGTGCATGCACAGCAGGAGGAAGGAGGCAGGGGGCAGGGACAGGATGATGATGATGAGGAGGAAATGGGGCTTGATGTGGAGGACTGTACGGAGCGTGCTCCAGGCATGATCTTCAACGCAATTCAGCCGAATTGGCTGCGCGAGGGAATTTGCGACCGAGGATGCCAAGGAGGAGGGACTAGGAGGGAACGGGAAATGGGGGCAGAGCCTCTCCCATGCCATCACACGTGCGCCCGGACGAATTTCCATTTCTCGTTGGTTGCCCCCCCACGCACACCCACGCACGCGTGCGCACATGCACACACACACACACACACGTTTTCTTGGCGCCGCCGCTCCGCACGCGACGACGGGGCGCAGAAGGTCGGGTGCAGGCAGTGACGCGCGCGCGCGCGCTCGCCTTCGCCCGGCCGAGCTCTCGGAGACGTGTGTGGCGCTTCAAGAATGGCCTTGCCTTCGAGGACGGAGGGAGTTGTCATCTCTTCCTCGGCGGAGGGCCGGCGGAAGCAGGAGGAGGCTGGCCGGAGGGTGGCAGAAGCAAAAGGTGTGCCCCCGAGAGATGAAGACGCTTTTGGGGTCAGGGTTTCCCACATCGCCCACGTGCACGCACGTGCACTCACACGCCACGCGCTGCGGTGTCGGAAGGAGAATGGTCGCCATCAACGGGAGGCTCTGCCGACGAGGGCAGTCCCAGTCCATCGGCGCTGTCACGGTCGGGCCTCGACCAGTCGGCCCTCGACCGCTCCGCCCTCGACCAGTCGGCCCTCGACGAGTCCGCGCTCGACCAGTCGGCCCTCGACGAGAGCACCATGGTGCTCGAGGCCCCGGCGGTGGCCGCTGCCCGCTCGAGCTCTCTCCCCGCGTGTCTGGGCCTTCCTGATGGTGTCCGAGAGCACGCCGGTCGTTGAGCAGGCATTTTTGGGCTCCCAGATCCCAGGCTGCTTCGAGCGCCTTCCCACTTCAAGAAGAGATGTGCTTTTGCTGTGTTCTGTTACTCTCTGGGAGGGTCTGGACCCAATCCACTCTATCCGCCTACCTACTTCATATATTTTCACCCACGTCTTCCGACCGACGCGCAGATGTGGTCGGAGGACTGCTCCGCATCGCCGATGCGACTCGGCGATGCGGCTCGATGGGGACCCCGATTCTCTCCACGCCGGCGATGCGGCGCGCTCCTCCCACCCCCCGCTGCTCGGACCCCGTGGGAGCGGCCTCCGGAGTGCCTGTCCCCGTGCTTCGTGCTCCGCGTCCAAGGCGGGCTCGTCCGGAGGCCCGCGGCGCCACCGAGGCGGGGAACCCATCAGGAGGGAAAAAAAACACGCGGACACCATGAATTGTCGATTCCCCAGAAGTTATGGGAAACATTGGAAGTGGGGGAGGAAGACAAAAACCGAGAAAATATGGGAACATGGGGGATCCTGTTATGTGTGTCTATTTATTTGTGTGTCCCAGGGCTCCTTCAAGCATCGGGGTGCTTGGGGGGGGCAGCGCGCGCGAGGGGTGGCAGGAAGGGATGGCGGGAGCGAGGCATTTTCGTGCGCGGCAGGGCGCCGTAATGGCAGGAGGGCGCCGCTTCTCTGCATCGACCAGGGTCCCTGCCTACAGCCGGATCGAGGTAGGAGATCGAGGTCGGTTCGGGGAAGGTGCCCTAATGTTTTTCGTGTTTGTTGGATGTTCTTGTGCACCCTGGGGAGGGTACCCCAGGATGTTCTGTGTGTTCTGGCCAGCGGAGGGTCTCGTGTTCTTGAGGGATGTTCTTCTGTCGTAGTTTCACAACTGTACTTCGGACGGGGCCAGGACGAGGATAAGTCCGTTCCTGAGCGTCCCAGAATGTTCTCAGAGCGTTCCAGAACGCTCTGAGAAGGCCGCGGCGCCCGAGACATCTTCCAGAGAGGCGGATCTCAGAGAGTTTCGATTTATCCTCACCCGAATTTGGTCTGGTCCTGGCTTCGTCTTAGGGTGGCTCTGAGGCCCCTCCCAGTCGTCCTTGGGGCGGTGTTTGGCTGTCTTGGAACGACAGTTAATCTGAATCGTGAATTTGAACTCTTCATTAGCGTAGTGTCATAGCGTAGTGTTGCGGACACCTGGGTGTGACACGACACTGTGACACTACGATACGGTTAGCGTAGTGTCATAGCGTAGTGTTGCTGACACCTGCTTGTAACACTACATTGTGAGACTACGCTACAGCTAGCGTAGTGCCATAGCGTAGAATCGCGGACAAAGTAAAGTCAGCGTTGTGTCATAATGTTGTGTTGGCGACAACTGGCTATGACACTACGCTACGGTTGAGGCGGGGAGAAGGATGCGTTTTTTTGTTGCTTGTTTTTCATTCGGGTTTTTTGCTTGACTCTGCTCCGGGAAAGTGGATTCTACGCTATGGTTAGCGTAGTGTCATAGCGTAGTGTTACGGACACTTGGGTGTGACATTACATTGTGACGTTACGCTACGGTTGAGGTGGGGGAGGAGGAAGAGTTTGTTTGTGCTTGCTTGTCCTTCGGGTTTTGCTTGACTCTGCTCCGTGACAGGATTCTACACTACGGTTAGCGTAGTGTCACAGCGTAGTGTTGCGGGCACCTTTCCCTCTGCTCCCAGTTTTGCTATGGTCGGCTATTGTTTTGCTGCGGTTTGCTGTGGTTTGCTATGGTTATGTTGCGGTTTGCTGTGGTTTGTTGTGGTTTTGTTGTGGTTTGCCGTGGTTGTGCTGTGGTGTTGCTGTGGTTGTGCTGTGGTGTTGCTGTGGTTTGCTGCGGTGTTTCTGTGGTTTTGCTGTGGATTGCTGTAGTTGAGCTGTGGTTGAGCCATGGTTCAGCTGTGGTTTGCTGTGATTTTGCTGTGGTGTGCTGTGGTTTCGCTGTGGTGTGCTGTGGTTTTGCTGTGGTGTGCTGTGCGTAGAAACTTTTTTCATGTCACGATGACACTACGCTAGAGTTGATGTGGGGGAGAAGGACGAGTTTGTTTTGTTTGCGTTTCTTTCCGGTGTTGCCTCGCTGGGCTCTGCTCCGTGACAGAGGATTCTACGCTACGGTTCGCGTAGTGTCATGGCGTAGTGTTGGGGACACCTGGGTGTGACACTACACTGTGCCACTACGCTAGAATTGATGTTGGTAAAGGAAGAGGTTTGTTTGCTTTTCCATTAGGGTTTTGCTTGACGTAGTAGTAGTGTCATAGCATAGTGTTACAGTCGCTTGACTCTGACACAGCGCTAGTATAGCTAGTATAGTGTCATAGAGTAGTGTCACAGTCGGGGGACGGTTTTCGGATCACGCTCGCGGTGAGGAGGGATGGTGTTGGTCCTGAAATACTTACATGACTCCTGCCAGACAGCTAAAGAGATGTTCTAATCCGCCCCTGCTGTTGAGGGGAGGCATGTTGAAGGTGTTTAGCACCTCGAGCTTGCACATGCTTGGTGCCCCTAGGGCAGGAGGAGGTGGAGGAGGCAGAGTGAAGCATGAAAGGGGCGAATGGCGTCTTGGTCGTGGCGGTAGCCGAGCGCAGCGGAGCGAGGGATGGAGGGTTGGGGTGAGGGCGGGAGAGGATGGAAGAGGAGGAGGGAGGGTCGAGGAGGGGGAGGAGGACCTGGCGAGGAGCGAGGAGGGAGGAGGACGGGAGGGGAGCACGCAGAGGCTGCCGGCCGCCCCAGCACGAAGATGCCCCCCGTGCCTCCCGGATCCCCCTCCTCCGCACTGGTCGTTCGTCTCCGTCGTCGTCCTCCTTCCGTCGGTGGCCCTGCTCTCTTCCCGCACCCCGTGCCCCTCCGCGGGCGCGCTCGGGGCCAACCTAGACTCCCAGAGTCCTCCTCGCCCCCGCCCCCTCAACTCTGGACGCCCGAAATCGGTACGGAAAGAATGGGTACAATGCCCAACAGCAGTTCCTGTCCATTTTGAACAGGATTCGCTGTCCACGCCGCCGCGGCCTGTGTCCATTCGAGACAGAAGGCCGCCTGCCCAACTGCGGCCGCTGTTGGTTTGGGACAACATTTGTTGTTGGGTATTGTATCCATTTTTTCCGTACCCAATTCGGGCGTCCAAAGCAACGCGGTCTTGCGAGAGGCCGACGTCCAGGCTGCGCCGACCTGCGGCGACCCGCGCAAGGCCTGGGACAGGCTCTTGGGAGGAGAGGAGGGGGGATGAGGAGGGAGGAGGAGGGAGGAGGATAGGAGGAGGAGGGAGGAAGATGGGAGGAGGATGGGAGACAGGAGGGAAGAGGACGGAGGAGTAGGAAGGAGGAGGGAGGGAGGAGGAGGGAGGGAGGGAGGGAGGGAGGAGGAGGGGGAAGGAGGGAGGGAAGGAGGAGGATGGGAGGGAGGAGGGAGGACAGCAAGGACAGCGAGCACCGGGGGTCCGCGGTGAGCGCGCACCGCCGCGACCCAGTGTCCGCGCGTCTGCGAGAGCCAGCTGAGGAGAGATGCGCCATGGCCTTGCCGTGGCATTTTTTTCCGGCGAGGACGTGCGCATTTTTCGGCGAGCACCATCGAGGAGCAGATTGGGCCACCGTGCGAAAAACATGCACGCACGAAACCAGAACATGGACTGGGACTGGACGTCCGAGCGACGGCGGGTTGCACCCCCAGCGTTTCCCTGATGGGGCCACGGCAAAGCTGCCCCCGGAGTGGAGCTCCCCCCTGTGGCCGATCCAGGGCAGAGTCTATAGCTGCTGCTGGAGGGGGGCGGAGGGCGGAGCGGGGAGGGGGGGACCTCCTCCTCCTCCTCCTCTTCCTCCTTTCCTCCTCCCTCCCTCCTCCTCCCTCCCTCCCTCCCTCTCCCTCCCTCCCTCCCTCTCTCCCTCCCTCCCTCCCTCCCTCCCCTCCTCTTCCTCCTCTTTCTCCTCCTCCTCCCTCCCTCCCTCCCTCCCTCCCTCCCTCCCTCCCTCCCTCCCTCCCTCCTCTCCCTCCCTCCCTCCCTCCCTCCCTCCCTCCCTCTCTCTCCTCCTCCTCCTCCTCCTCTTCCTCCTCCTCCTCCTCCTTCTCCTCCCCCCGTTCCGAGGCGGGGTGGTGGGGGCGGCGGTGGTGTGAACACGAAGCCGTGACCAGCTAACGGCTGACGATGAAAGCCTGCAGGACGTAGAACGAAACTCGAGAGATTGAGGCAAATCTCGGAGCCTCCGATATCGACTTGCCTTCGTCCCATCCCGCCACCGTGCTTAGGTTGTAGGGTAGGTCAGGGGCATATATTGTGTTCTTCTTGGGACTTCATGTGAGACATCTCAGAAGCCTCTTGGAGGCTTTGGATTATCTTGGGGCCTCTCGGGGGTCTCTTACGGGCCTCTTGGGGCCTCCTTGGGGCCTCTTGGAGCCTCTTGAGGTCTGGCGGTCTAGGGATTCATCTTGGGGCAGATGGCTCGCAGTGTCAGGTCGTGTTCCCCCTCTTGGGGCCCTTTTGGGCGGCCTTGGGGGCCTCTTGGGCCGTCTGGGGGGTCTTGGGGCGCTCTTAGGCCGTCTTGGGGCCCTCTTGGAGGCCGCTTGGGGCCATCATGGGGCGATGTTTGGGTCCTCTGGGGGCCGTTTTGCTCTTGAGCCCTCTTAGGGCGTCTTGGGGGCTTCTTGGGTCAGTCTTGAGGCTGTCTTTGGCATCTTGGGGCGCTCTTGGGTCGTCTCGTGGTGCTCTTGGACCGCCTGGGGCGCTGCTTGTGACACTCTCGCGGGCCCCGGAGGAAGCTTTCGGCTGGCGAAGTGGTCCAGAAGATCACGCGACACGCCCCAGGAATGGCCAAGAATGCTCAGGAATGCCCGAGAAACCTCAAGAATGCTGCAATACTCCCAACTTGAACTGTATGACCCTTGGCGCATCCCTGAACGTGGTGAAGGCACGGTGGTGGACCTTCTGGCCAGAGTGTGGCTGTGAAGCTCCTAGGGGCGATCTTGCGGCGTCGCCCGTCCTGGGCAGCGGCACGATTATCTCAGCATGTCGTGCCAGCTGTGCTTGTGTGAGGACCACAGTCGGGACTCGCAAAAGGGTGTGTGTGTGTGTGTGCCCCATGTGTGTATGTGAGAGAGAGAGAGAGAGAGTGAGAGAGAGAGAGAGTTCGATCGTCTTTTGCACCGAACCGCCCAAACCAGATGCCCCCCAGCCGCAGGCAGCTCCCCATAGTTGCCGACAGGTGGGGCAATGCGGGGGGCATCTGTTTGCGGCAGTTCGGTGCACCAGCGGATCGAACTCATGCCCCGCCCCCTCAAGGTCACCCCCCCCTTCCTGGTGGATCCCGGCAAATGCGGAGGAGGTGAGGGGGGAGGGGGGGCAATTGGGGCGAGCTTCCTGCGACTCGGCATCTTCTTGTGGCGCCCAGCATCGCCGCGGCCGCGGCAGCCTCGGGCTCCTCCTGTGAGGTCTTTCCCTGCAGAGTGGGGGGGCGCAGGCGGAGGCGCGCCGGGCAAAGTGTTGGGGCGCCAGGCGACGTCTGACCAGGCATGGGGAGGTGGCCGCAGCTGTAAGCTCACGTATCCCCTCTGCTTCTTTCTTGATCACCTCTTGGGACGGGTCGAATCTCGTTTTCCTCCAGCAAGGTCGGGCGCTGTGCAGAATTCCCGCCCGTCGGGGGCTCCATGCAGCGTGCGATTCTCGCAATGCGGTGCACGCGTGGTCTGGATCCACGTTGCACGAGACCTCGTCTGACGAAAAAACGCGGTCTGGATCTGTCTGGTGGGTCGCCGTCTTGGATTCCGAGTAGCATGGCGTGCATACCCCCGCTTGTGCGGAGGGGGGAGGACGAGGGAGGGGCGGGGGGGGGGGGGGAAACGGGGGCGGGGAAGCGAGGGGGAGGAGCAGGAGGGGGGGCGAGAAGGAAGGAAGGAGGCAAGGAAGGAGGAGGCAAGGAAGGAGGAGGCAAGGAAGGAAGGAAGAAAGGAAGGAAGGAGGAGGCAAGAAAGAAAGGAAGGAGGCAAGCAAGGAGGAGGCAAGGAAGGAGGGGTGAGAAGGAAGGAAGGAAGGAAGGAGGCAAGGAAGGCGGAGGGGGAGAATGACTTGTGACCTTCGCTTCGCGGGGCACGTGCTCGGAACAGGAGTGTGGGGCAGGGGGGAGGGGAGGGATGGAGAGGAGAAGGGGAGAAGAGGGAGGGAGAGAGGACCCTCGGGAGAAGGAGAGGAAGGCCAGAGCGAACCCAGGACGTATCAACAATGCTGCAGCTACATGTCCCAAGTCCCCTCCCCATGAGCCCCTGTAGGAGTGTCTCTTCACTGCGGGACGTGCCCCCTTGAAGGGCGAGCTACCCATGGTCATACAATTCGGGCGGGGGCCCCGTTTGGAAAAGAGAGCTGCGGTCCAGGTTTCTGCCTATCGGGACGGCGGCGCGGCAGGATCACTCGAGTCAAGGACGTGCCCAGCGAGAGCCCCGCTTTGAAACGGAGCCGCCCCGAATCGGCGCACTGTCCCAAGACTTACACGTCTGGCAAGAGCCTCCAGCAGTCTTGAGCGGCAGCCGCGGTCTGAACACGCACCGCCCCCTCCACCCGTGCAGCTGCTGCACGGTGTGAAGCTCGCGGTCCAATCCCGAGCTCATGTTGGCTTCGGAACGTGTGCCGACCTCCCTCCGCGCAGCTGCTGCGAGTGTTTGGACACGAGTGTGCGAGGCGTCGTGTGTTCGGACCGACCCCCCCCTCCAATCGTGTAACTGCTGGCGGCTTGCAAGACGAATGTGTGCGGCGTGGAGGCGACTGCCACATTTGGAACACCAGCCGTCCTCCAGTGTGTGTGTGTGTGTGTAAGTGTAGGTGTTGTCTGTGATGAATCGCATGTGCGCGGCGCCTCGGCGAGATCCACCGCTTGAGAACGCCGTGTATAAGAGTGAACCGCTGTCAAAAGGCGAGCGTGCGCGGCGCTGAGGCGAGAACCCCAGCTTGAGAGCGCCCCCCGCCATCCGTGCAACTGGTGAGACGTCTGGGACACGTGGGGCGGTTCAAAGAGGGCCTTGCCTTTGTATCGAAGGAGTTGCCATCTCTTCCGCGGCGGAAGGCGGCGGAAGGTCGGCGGAAGTAGAACGAGGCCGTCTCCGCCGGCGGAAGCTCGGAGGAAGGCGGCGGAAGTAAAAGATGTGTCCCCAAACGATGAAAGCGTTGTTGGATTCAGGATTTCCGAACTCGCCCATGTGGTGGGCGTTTTTGGCTAAAGCCACATTTTGAAAACGAAAGCGACTCACCCTCCATCCGAGGAGTTGGTGGAATATGAGGCTACGAATTCAGAAGCGGGGAGAAAATCTCAGGCGAAACGTGTGGCCCGCCCTACCAACACGTCTGGTGGTCGGACGTGGAGGGGTTAACCATAAGGGTAAGGTGTGGAGAGCAGGAGGAGGAGGAGGAGGAGGAAGAGGAGGAATGGGATTGCAGAGGAAATGGGACAAAGAAGACGGCGAGAGGGTCAGATACGACCCTCTATGTTCTTCAGCTTCCTCACGGCCCTCGCCCCCCCCTGCAAATACTCCTCCTGGTCGTACTTTTCCTCCGGCATGCCGGCCTCCGCCTCCTTATGTTTCCTATTTCTGCCATGGCTCCTCGTCTCCTGCTTGTCCTTCCCGTTCTTTTCTCCCCCTCCTGCCCTCCTGTGTTTCCTCGCTCTCTTGCCCCATTGAGCTCCTCCGCGTCCTACTCCTACTCCTCGTGCTCCTCCTCCTCCTCCTGCTCCTCCTCCTCGCTCTCCTGCTGCTACTCCTACTCCTTCTGCTTCTCCGCGTCCTGCGCTTAGTACTCCTGCTGCTCTCCTCCTCCTCCTCCTCCTCCTCCTCCTCCTCCTCCTCTCCTCCCCGTCCTCCTCCCCTTCCTCCTCCCCGTCCTGCTCCTGCTGCTTCTACTGCTGCTGCTGCTGCTGCTGCTCCTCGTCCCTCCCCGCTTTTGCCCCTTCTGGTACTCCTCCCTCTTCCCGCTCGCCATGCTCCTCATCCGACTCCACGTCCTGCTCCTCCTCAACCTCCTGCTACTTCTTCTGATCGCCATGGCCACACATCTCTTCGTCGTCATCACCCTCATCATCATCCTCATTTTCCTCTCTTCCTCCTCCTCCTCCTCGACATCTTTCTGCCCCGCCCATCTCTCATCCCCGACTTCTGCTTCCTTCGCCCACCCCTCGCCACTCCTCCTCCTTCCCGTCCCGTGCTCTTCTCCGCTCTGGCCCCGTTTCCAAGCCTGTGCCTTTCATCTTCCTCGCCCCCCGCCCCTCCCCCTCCTCCCCACGCAGGACAGCGACGGCGACGGCCGCGTCACGCACGAGGACTTCCGGCGCGCGCCGGTGGCCGCGGTCGCGGTGGACATGGCGCTGCAGGCGGGGGGGGCCGCCCGCCGCCTGGGCCGCCGCCTCGCCGCCCCGGCAAGCCCCGCGTTGCTTCGTGCCGGACTCGCGAGGAGGCAGTGGGGTGGGAGGGAGTAAGGGGAGGAGGGAGGAGGGAGGAGGGGAGGAGGAGGGAGGAGGAGGGAGGAGGAGGAGGAGGGTGAGGTCGAGTGATGATGATGATGATGATGATGATGATGATGATGATGATGATGATGATGATGATGATGATGATGGTGATGATGCTACTAATGATGATGATGATGGTACTGGTGATGGCAATAGTAATGGCGATGATAATGATGGTGGTGATGATTATGATGATCATGATGGCGATGATGGTGGTGAAGATGATGATGCTGCTGATGATCATGATCATGCTGTTGATGCTGATGCTGATGATGATGGTGATTGTGATGACGATTGCGGTGGTGGTAATGGTGATGGTGACAGTGATGATGATGGTGATGATGATGTAGTGGTGATGGTTATGATGATCGTGATGGTGATGACGGTGATGATGATGATGATGATGATGGTGCTGATGATGATGGTGATGATGATGGTGATGGTGCTGGTGATGGTCATGGTACAGATGATGGTGATGATGATGATGACGACGATAGTGATTGTGGTGATGATTATGATGATCGTGATGGTGACGATGGTGGTTACGATGAAGATGCAGTTGATGATGATGCAAGTGATGCTGATGATGATGATGGTGATGGTGATGATGATGATGATGATGATGATGATGATGCCGCTGATGATGATTATGATGATTGCGGTGGTGGTAATGGTGCTTGTGATGGTGATGGTGATGGTGAGGATGCTGATTGTGGTGGTGCATATGATGATCGTGATGGTGGTGATGGTGGCAGTGATGATGATGATGTTGCTGATGATGATGGTGCTGATGATGATATTGATGATGCTGGTGATGGTGGTGATGGTGATGGTGATTGTGATGGTGATGACGACGAGGACGATGGTAGTGATGATAGTGAGTGTGATCGTGATGGTGATCGTGATGGTGATGGTTGTGTTGTAATTATGATGCTGAGGATGTAGCTGAAGATGAGGATGAAGGCGACGAGGATGATAATGATGACGAGGGTGAGGATGATGAGGGTGGGGGTAAGGGTGATGATGATGATGATGACGATGATGCTGATGCTGCTGCTGATGATGATGATGAGGAGAAAGAGGAGGAGGGGGGGATGAGGATGAGGATGCTGAGAAGGATGAGGATGAGGATGATTGGGAGGAGGATGACAATGAGGATGAAGATGCCGATGAGGATGACCCCCAAACCCCCACCCGAGCAGCAGCTACAGAGGGGGCCGCGCCTCGGCCCCCCCCCCGGCTGCTGCTGCTCGGGTGTGGGGGGGGGGGATCGCGCCGCATCGTCGACGCGTCGGCGATGCGGCTCGATGCGGAGCCTGGTTTTCTCCACGTTGGCGTCGCCGATGCATCGCCGACGTCGCCGATGCATCGCCGATGCATTGGCGATGTATCGCCGACGTATCGGCAATGCGGCGCGATCCTCCGACCCCTCCGACCCCATCTGGGAGGCCTCTAGCTGCAGCGTTCAGTCGGACATGTCCCTCCACAGGAGGAGTCTGCAAAAATTGTAAAACATAGTCTGGGGACGATGTTTCTACTGTCCTTGACTATGTTTGCGCATGTCTTAACTATGCCTTATGTTTCTTGTAAAATCCGCCTGTAGGAGGACATGCCCGACCTAACTCCAGGCCCGGCCTGCTCGACCAGTGTCGAAGAAGAAAAGATGCCGCAAACATGAACTTCGGGCGCTCCGCGTGGATCTCTTGGATCCGCGCTCGGCCTCCCGGGCGCAGGCGCCGCTCCTGGCGCGCTCCGCGCGCCAAAGATGGGGGGTCCAGCGCAGATCCAAGAAATCCGCGCGAAGCGCCAAAACTTTGTGTTTATGGCGCTTTTTCCCTGCAATGGAGCGTCGGGGGCGCGCCGACGGGTAGGATGACCGGGAGGAGGACGGTCATGACGACCGTCTGGCTGGGCAGCGCGAGGCGTGCCGATGGGGAGGGAAAGGAGGGGGGGAGGAGAGAGGAGTGATGTTCAGGCCGTTCTGGTTCTAGACGTCCACTGGGCAGCACGCCGCGCCCGGAGCGGCCTTGATCGCTTCGGTTCCAGACGTCTTGCATCAGGGGCCCATGTCGAGCGGCCTGGATGGCAGATTTTATGAGGCCGACTTCCCTGAGCTCGAGGAAATCGTCGTGGTTCAGGTAAAGCGCATCGTAGACATGGGCGCGTACGTCAGCCTCCTCGAGTACGACGGCAGAGAGGGCATGATGCTACTGAGCGAGCTGTCCAAAAGGCGGATCCGGTCTGTGTCGAAGCTCTTGCGCGTCGGCCGCACGGAGATTTGCATGATTGTGCGTTTAGATAAGGATAAGGGTTATGTCGACCTCTCCAAGAAACGCGTAGAGCCTGAAGATGCCACGGCCAAGGAGGAGTCTTTCGCCAGGGCCAAGGCCGTGCACGGTATCATGCGGCACGTGGCTTCCACAAATGATGTAGAAGTGGAGGAGTTGTGCAATAAGATCGCTTGGCCGTTGTACAAGAGGTACCAGGACGCCTACGAGGCGTTTCGCAAGCACATAAACGAGGAGATCAATCTCTGGGACGAAATTGACTTCAGCCAGCCTGGTCGAGATCTCACTGACATTGCAGAGAAGCTCAAGGAGGACATCGAGACAAATCTGCGACGACGGCTGATTCAGCAGCAGTTGCGTTTGCGAGCCAAGATCGAATGTTCCTGCCTTGAGTATGCTGGCATTGACGCTGTCAAGGAGGCGTTGACCAAAGGACTGGAAGTGCAGAAGGAGGACGTCGAGCTGAAGATCAATCTGATTGCCCACCCGGTGTTCGTTGTCACGTGCACGTGCAAGGAGAAGGCTTTGGGCATGAAGACGATTGAGGAGTCCTTCGAGTTGGTAAAGGAGTGCATCTTGTCGCATGGGGGGACGTTCAACGTGGTGCAGATGCCAACAGTCGTCGGGGACGACGACAAAAAGGAGGAGGAGCAGGAGGGAAGTGGATCGTCGTCTGATAGCGAAAGCGAGCAATCCCACATGGGCGGCATCGATGAGGATGAGTTGAAGAAGCTCGAGGAGGCGACAAAGAACCGCGTCGACGAGGAGGAGAAGTGATCCTCATCGGGCAGGTAGATCCTTTGCAGTAAAGTCTGGCCAGCGAAGGAGAGATTCAAGCATAGGGCTGTCTGTAACGATTCTTCGTTTTGGCGCCAGAGAAAATGTGCTGAGAGAGATGTACAGTGGGTTTCGGCTCATGTCACTACCGTCCCTAAGCTGTGGGTCAAGGGCACAGTGGGAGCGGTCGAACCCAACAAAGCCTTGGGGGTCTCTTCGGGGTCTTGGGTCCATATTGCGGCGGAGATTCGGACAAACTCCCCACTTGTGCTCTTAGGGTCAGTTCGCGATCCCCTTTTTGGAGCCCTCTGGGGATCCCTTTGCGACACTCGCGGCACTCCTTCGAGTCCCCTTGGGCCCAGAGGGGGGGATCTGGAGAAGAAAAAAAGATGGGGGAATCTGGAGGCCCCTGAGTCACACCTGCGGTAGCAAGAGTCCGACTGTGGTCATTAGACGCGCCAGTATGGTACCAACATCACTCAAGATCCGCGGTTCAGAGTTTTCAGTAAACGGAACCATGATACATTGAACAACGTGAGTCGGTTTCGCATGAGTTGTAGTCCAGCAGTTGTTCGGTCTCAAGAGCGTCCATTGCAGTACGACTAGTGCCCAGGATGGCCACAAGGCGGTCCTCGAGGCCCCCGCGAGAATTCTAAGGCAACCTCCAAGAGCCCCCCAAAATGGCATGTCCCAACAAGACCCCAAAACAGGCTCTGTGGGCCCAGCAATCGGGTTCGAAAGCGATCCGAGCAACCACTCCGAGACATGGCTTCAGAGTATCATTCTTGGCAGATTGAGAAGAATTTCACATCATCATTGCAGTTCCAGTGTTACGCTAATAAGGGCTAGCAGGACCTCAAGTGCACAGGTACGGCTTTGCTCGAGTAATCACTGAAAGCGGTCGCTGTGCGTGAATGCCGAAAAGACAACCTTTCGGGTGATAAAGAGGTTGGGGCTTGGTGGGGGGGGAGATCTTGCATGTCGATTCGCATTTGGTTGCAAGTGTATTCCGCTTTCGACGTGCCTTTCGATTGTTTGCATGTCGATTTGCATGTATATCTGGATTTCGATTCGCTTTCTGATTGCAACAGGGTTCGCAAAGCGATTTGCATTGATTTTCTAGTTGCATTTCGAGTTGTGTTCCCATTGACAGCCAGACTTCCATAATGATTGGCATTCGAGGTAGCATTCCGATGCTCATTCCATTTTCCCTTCCGATTTCCATTGCGGTTTGAATATCGCAGGTAATCGGAGTTGCATTCAGATTTTCACCGTAACATACGTTCTTACTTCACATTCGGTTTGCCTTCCATAGCGATCGAATCAGCATCTCGAGTCGAATTTAGGTTTGCATGCCGATTTTGATGTTGATGAGGATTTCGATGTTCAATTCGACTTGCGGTTCGATCATCATCTCGATGTGCATATCGTCCGCACTTGGATGTTCATGCCGACTTGAATTCCTCATGAGACAACCACCAGACAATCCATTGGACGACCACGGAACAACCTACAGGACAACCGTGGGGCAAACACCCACAGGACAACCTGCAGGGCAGCCAGCGAACAACCCACGTGATATATGTCATCGCTTCGCTCATTCCGCCAGCCCGTATTTGTGCAACCGCTGGTGTTTGCGTGCGCGTTCGTGGGCCATGCGGCGTTGTTAGTCGGCGGTACTGCGGTTTGGGTTTGCGGGTGAGAGTCCTCATGTCGATGCTTCTTGGTGTCTCTCTTCGGGGCCTCCCTGGGGCGCCTTGGATGCCTCTTGGGCCTCTCGGGGCTCTCTTAGGCGCCCCTGGGGGCCTCCTGGACCCTCTTGGGGGGCTCTTGGGGGCCGATTGGGAGCCTCGTGGGGCCTGCCGGGAGCTCCTCGGAGGCCCGGGTGGGAGACTCTGGGGGCGATTTGGAGGCCGAGAGCTTTTTGAGAGCTGTTCGAAGGCTTGGTGGGGGCTCTGGGGGCGATTTTGAGGCCGATCGCTCGACGTGTCCGTTGGGGCTCCCCCTCGAGGGGTCTTCCTGAAGGTGTTTTGGGGCTCTCCAGCGCCGACTTCAGAGAAACTTGGGCCGTCTTGGAGTCCCCGTGGGCCGTTGGGGGGCTCTCTTGGAGGCTTCATGGGCCGTCTTGGAGCGATCGTAGGGGCTGCTTGTGGTCTTGGAGCGATCGTAGGGGCTGCTTGTGCCGTCTTGAAGCGTCGGCGTCGGAGAAGATGAGAACGCTGAAAACCTTCAAAGACAAATGGAACATCGTTGCTGTTGGGGCTTCTTGGGTGTGATCTGCGAGGCATATTCGGGCGTCTTGGAGGCGGTTGAATCCGTCTGGAGGCTATCTTTGGCATCTTGGATCAACGTCCGGTGACCCTGGGCCCTCTTAGCCCACCTTGGGTGCCTCTTCAGACGCTCTTGAAGGCCCTGAAGGCAGTCCCCAGGAGTTCCGGCAGCCGTGACGGGGACCGCCTGGGCGTTCCCGCGGGTACTCTTCGTCCGAGTACCCCCAGGAGCAGCCACACGCGCGCGCGCACTAAAAGTATCCTGAAGATGTTGCGGGAGATTTTCGCACGCCTTTGGCCCGTTGGGCCGGCAATTGTGCGACTTGGCCACCGTTGCGCCGCCCTCGCGCAGCTCCGCCTCGCGCGGCTTCGGCACGCACCCAGACGGGGGCCAACTGCGTTCTCACCCCACGATTGTCCTTACAAGTGGCACGTGCGTGCTGAGTTTTTGTTCCCAACCGTCCTGTGGTGTTGGGTCTTCGTTTGGAATAGACAGCGCCTCGCGTTCCTCTCCTCTCCTCTCTCCTCTCCTCCTCCGCCCCTCCTCCTCCCCCTCTTCCCTCCTCCGCAGTTCGCGTGCGCCTCTCCCGCCCAGTACAGCGTTTCGTGGCCCCAGACAGAGCTCCACCGAAGGTCCCAGTGGCGCAGTTCGCATGCGACCCCCACGCCCAGTACAGCGTTTCGTGGCCCCAGGTGGGGTTCCACAGAAGGTCCCAGTGGCGCAGTCCACATGAGTCCCCTCCGCCCAGTACAGCGCTTCGTGGCCCTTGGGGGAGCTCCACCGAAGGTCGCAGTGCCAGTGCCGCAGACCGCATGCGCCCCTCCCACCCAGTACAGCGCTTCGTGACTCCATAGGGAGCTCCACCGAAGTTCCCAGTGGCGGAACTCGCATGTGTCCCCGGGGCCGCCCAGTACAGCGTCTCGTGGCCTTGGAGGGAGCTCCAGCGAAGGTTCCCAGTGGCGCAGTTCACATGCGGTTCCCCCCGCCCAGTACAGCGCTTCGTTGCCCCATAGGGAGTCCACCGAAGGTCCCAGAGGCGCAATTCGCATGCGGTCCCCCCACCCAGTACAGCGTTTTGTGGCCCTGGAGGGAGCTCCACCGAAGGTCCCAGTGGCAAAACTCGCATGCGTCTCCTCCGTCAAGTACAGGGTTTCGTGGCCCCATCGGGAGTTCCACCGAAGAAGGTCCCAGTGGCGCATTTCGCACGCGGTTCCCCCGCCCAGTACAGCGCTTCGTGGTCCCATAGGGAGCTCCACCGAAGGTCCCAGTGGCGGAATTCGTATGCGGTTCTTGCACCCAGTACAGCGCTTCGTGGCCCTGGAGGGAGCTCCACCGAAGATCCCAGTGGCGCAGTCCGCATGCGGTTCCCCCGCCCAGTACAGCGCTTCGTGGCTCCATAGGGAGCTCCGCCGAAGGTCCCAGTGGCGCAGTTCGCATGCGGTTCCCCCGCCCAGTGCAGCGTTTCATGGTCTCAGAGGGAGCTCCACGTAAGAAGATACCCACAATTGCGGTACTCACACTTGCATGTGGGTGGGTTCTTCGCGATGCTAATTTGGTATACGACACGATCCCGAGGAGGAGGAGGAGGGAGGAGGAGGAGGAGGAGGAGGAGGTCCCGCGGCTTGCCCGAGAAAGGAGGAGGAGCAGGAGGTGGAGGAGTAGGATGAGGAGGATGAGGAGGAGGAGGAGGAGGAGGAGGAGGCACGCGTACGCTGAGTTGTCCGAACCTTCCTGCGTTGGGTACATGTTTTGAGTAGAGCACTGCTGTCGCAGACCTTCTCCCGCCGTCCCTCATCCTCTCATCTCTCCTACGTGCCTGCTACCCCGCCTCCTATCTCGTCGTCCTGCCTGGATGCCCGGTGGGGGGCTGCGATCTGCGAAATTGTCGCTACTT